AACATGGGACACTTGAGGACATGAAGGTGGGTCTCATCAGGAGTGTGTTATCAGTGTGTGTGTGGTGTTAATGAAACACTACCTGTGATAAAAAATTTTTTGCCAAATGATCTCTAATGATTATACCCCTACCGTTCCATTATTTTCTGAGGCTGTGTGCTCACTGAACATTTAGTTGTAGCTGCTTTTCTGTCACTGCTCTCATATAAATGTAGTTTTTAAATGAGACTGTGTCCCTTCTCCTCCAGGAAAGACCCTCCTCTGTCAGACTGAACACGGGACGTTTGAGGACTGGAAGCTAAGGTGCGTCTCATCAGGAGTGATCAGAGTTTCTATGAACACTACCTGTGATGAAAAGATTCTGCCAAATGATCTCTAATGATTATACCCCTACCGTTCCATTATGTTCTGAGGCTGTGTGCGCTCCCAACGCCTCTGCTGAGTCTCTACCTTTTGTTCTAATGAGAGTTTGTGTTTCTGTCCAAAGAAGCCCCTCCAGGATCTGCTCTGGGATCAGCCTCTCATCAGTTGAAGCCCCGCCCCTTCAGGGCCAGGATCTGCTCTGGGATCAGCCTCTCATTAGGTGAAGCCCCGCCCCTTCAGGACCAGGATCTGCTCTGGGATCAGCCTCTCATCAGGTGAAGCCCTGCCCCTTCAGGACCAGGATCTGCTCTGGGATCAGCCTCTCCAGGTGAAGCCCTGCCCCTTCAGGACCAGGATCTGCTCTGGGATCAGCCTCTCCAGGTGAAGCTCTCTGATACCTGCACGTCTCTGAAAGCTGTAGCTGATGATCTGTTGAAACATTGGGAATCTCTCTGAGTCAGAGTGAAAGAGAACTGTTTTCTGATACAGAGCAGACTCTCTGATCTGTGCTCTGGAGGAAGGCTGCTTCTAACTGCTCTCTTCTCTTCTCAGGTGCTGAGCTTCAGAGACATCAAGGCTGTGTTTGTGGAAATAAAGAGTGAACTGAATCCTGTGCCTGTTGTCTTTTATTAACATGTGTAGAGACTCTGTGCCCAAAACATGCAGGATGTGCTCTGATTGGTTAACGAGCTATACTTCTCATTACATCATCCTACAGATACTTTAATGATGATGCTACTTTTTTTTATACCTGGACTTTAATGACTTTTTACTGAGTCTACTTTACTAAGTTTCAGTGTCTCTTAGCTGCAACTATATTTCCCCTCTGGGACTAATGAGGGAATTCTGATTCTTTAAATTGTGCATTGTTTATAGGAAATGCATTAGTCTCCTCTCAGCATTTTGTGAATTTAATAAATGACTGGTTAGGAACGTGTCATTAGATCACCTGTGTATTCTCAATTCTCTAAGGGGCTTTATATTATCTGGACCTTATGAAAAGTATCCAAAATATTCTTTGCCCTTCCAAAAACATGCAATATTTACTTCAACTAAAATAATTCTAGAACAAAAATGGCTAGATGATGGTTATAACATAAACCAATATTTAGCTCCAACACAGACCTTAGATGTGTTATAAACATATTTAATATCTACTCTATCTTGAGATTTCTATATTGCTTATTCTACTTTTTTATTTGTAATGATGTGCACTATTTGTTAACGTGCTGCTGCAAAGAAAGTATTTCCCAATTTAAGTATGAATATTGGACTGAAAAAACGGGACGAGCTTTAAGACATGGTTATTGTATCCGTGTACCTGTGTTTCTAAAGTGTTTGTGTTTATATATGTTCATGATTCAAAAAATACATACATTGCGTTTTTGTTGAGCGAATGTTACCGGAAGTGACGTTCAATCGAGTACCGGAAAATATGTAATCTCCTTTGCTTCTTTTTTTAACTCTAATTACGTTATTAAAAAATAAAGGAGGAAAGAGAAACGTGTGCCACGACACAAAGAAGTATGTATCAAATAATAAACTGGAATTACATTCAAAGTCGCATATCTTTACCAACATTGAAAGCAAACAAATCGCCGGAAGTCCTGACAGGCGCATGCGCAGAACACAAAATGAAGCGACCATCCCTCCCTAATACATTTCTAATGTTAAATAAATGAAAACCAGTCACAGTTAAGAATTATAAATTAATTATTAATGCCATAAATGATTGAATACATTTACTTTTTCTTATTCCAGTATGATAGCTGTCAATACATTTTTATTTAGTGATATAGGAGTCACAAGACAAGTGCATACAAGTACAGTGTCACAGAAGACAGTACGGTGAATTTACAAGTAAAGACAAATAACATGACAAAATATACTTGGAGACAGAAAAGAAACTGTGTGTGTGAGGGATTAGACAAAAAGAGAGTAATATATGACAAAATTATGATTACAATTATATGAGTAACAATATAGCCTAATGGTCATGTGTCCTAGGAGGGGGGGAGGGGGCATGTACAGGTGGCTGATTTCAGAATGAGGATTATGAATTAAATGTATCAATGAATAGATTGCATCAATATCAGTGATTTGCTCACTTATATGTACTTTACTTAACCCACTTTCTTCTCAAATAATCGGGAAATTGCATTGTAACAACAACTCCTCTCCCTCGTTCAGATGGTCGGGTTTTTTTTTCTTCAATGCGAAACGTGTCAGATGTCCTATTTGGGTTGCCGTACGTAGCTGTCAAATATGGGAAACCAACTCGCGCTTGCGTAGTGCAAATCAGGTAGTCAAACCTCCTGCTGTACAATGGGGGAGGAATAAGGGGGGAGGAGGGTTAATGTGCCGCACCGTGCACAGCTGTGACCCCCCGGAGAGGAGAACCAGAACCCCCGGTGTCTCGGCGCTGTTCCCCCGGAGAGGAGAACCAGACCCCCCCCCGGTGCCTCGGTGCTGTTCCCCCGGAGAGGAGAACCAGAAACCCCCGGTG